AGTGTACGAGGGCGATGGAATGTTCATTCAAAGCTTCGGAAAGGAGACGTTGAATAACGCACAAGATATTACGGCAACTTACGATGGTCATTCGTTAGTTCTGGACACTGATAAAGACTCCACATGTCTTCGCGTGTTCAGTGCACAGGGTCACCAACTTACTAGGTTTTCAGTTGCAGGATCGATGCCTGACACTGGTGCGGCTGTGGATTTTCACCGCCCGAGTGAAACAGTTCTTGTTGCTACAATGCAGTCCGAAAACCATCTGGAAGTGTCTATGTACTCCAAAGACTTTAAGTTTTTGCGTGTCATTCAATTTAGACCCCAGGGAGATAGCAGCTTTATAACAGGGGTTACTGCGACAGTGAAGGGAAGCATTGCTGTACCCTGCAAAAGCACAGTACTCTATGCTTGAAAATTACGCGACCCTGGGGATACATTTTAGCCGGCAAATTCTAAATACGAACCACAAGGACCAGAAGAACGTCCGGTTATTGTCTAGTTATACCTATAAGGCCTTAGCCTTGCCTAGCGTCGGTTAGTCTGCTACACAGCCGTTTTTAGTGTCGTCACGCAACGCTCCTCCCCACTAAGAGGAGAGGAGGAGCGTTGCGTGACGACACTAAAAACGGCTGTGTAGCAGACTAAGCGTCGGTTAAAACTAGAAACCGCTATATTCCCAGACTAACGAAGCCCATACCTTATATTTCTGTTTTCTTTTTTCATTAGCAGCCTTCAGAAGCGGCTGGCAACACTACACATTGATTGAATTTATTAAATTCTGTAGTATTATAGGGTAAAGTAACACTCATTTTAACTTTCACAATTTTAATGGCGGCTAGGCTTAGCTAAAAAAGTCAGGATTTTTTTTGAGATTTTTTGAAGTTCAAAAAGATTGTTGGTAAAAATCTTATTTTAGATATTTATACGAATTTAGCTTGTTTGTCTAAGATTTTCAGAACTTAAACTGAAGAGTCAAAATATACATCTCGGTAAAATACTTGAAAAAATATCAAGAGTTGTTGCAGCCGAGTTCTGTGGTTTTTTCGAGTTTTTCGTATTTCCTTTCTGGATGATTTATAGCTTCTTTGATTTGTTATCGTATGGTTTTTGACACCGGCAGATATATTTGCCCTCATACAATCAACCAAACAAAGGAAATTCAATTTTAATTTGAAAGTTTATACTTGAGTCTCTCAGTCCACTGATTTATAAACAGAGTATCGCATGCACGATTGATTTGATTTTGTTCTTGAAATTCATTTTGTATGTACTTCAAGTATACAAAGGCAATGACTGTAACATGAATTTACTCAATAAAAATCGCCAATAAATGACTTTTAAACAATAGGGCGTGCATTTTGTCTTTCGCCTGATCGGGGAAGTAAAATTGGGCGTTGGTCCTAAACAGGGTCAGGGTTTCAAACCCAAAGGGGCTCACCTATAACCAAATACTGCCCGAGTACTCATATCCCCGGGAGTTACCCAAATAGCGACGGAATTTTATGTGCATTTTTTTTTATGAATTACTGAACAGTTGTTTGGTTATGAGAGATCTACAGATTACTCCGATAGCCTGAGGCTAGTGGAGTTTGCCTTGGCGCCAGTGTATTCCGTTCCTAAAAAGCTGTTTCATTATGGGGAATTCAAAATACCCATTCACCCTAAGCCAAATTAAAATTCCTAACAAATTCACTTCTGGGACCCAAAACCATTTTCAAACCCATCTCAAAATGAAATCTGTAAAAACACGTATCAAAAAAGTATTTTGTTTCGAATGTAAAGAGCTGAGGTTGTATGTAAATATTTATTCACTCCACCAGTTCGTTTCCAATATAAACCCTGTAAGATTTTACGTTACGTAATATTAGAAAAGTCAACATTACTGAGTGCTCACATATTGGCCGGCCTGGGCTGACTGGCCAAACGGGGTCACACATATACAGAATGCAAGCGCCACGGCCTTACACACGTGAGCTTTCAACTGTTAGATTTCTACAGTCGACTCCCGATAACTCGAACCCTCGCTAACTCGAACCTCGCGCTAACTCGAACCAAAATCGATTTTCCCTGGATTTCCGTAATATATTCACTGTAATTTTACCCTGGGTAACTCGAATCCTCGATAACTCGAACTCCCGCTAACTCGAACCAATTTTCGTTTCCCCACAGGTCATTTTCTGCATAATTTTACAATCGATTACTCGAACCATGTTTTGAGCCCTTAAAAAGTCGGGCAAAAAGCCGTCTAGTGGCGTCCGAAACATTGAATTTGGGATTTCCTATTGACGTGTTGTAGGAGTGTACAGAATGTAGTTTACTAGTGGAGGCTGATGTTGATTGTCAAGGGCTAACGTGAAGCAGTTTTACTTCTCCAAATAGTAAAACGCATGCTCTTTTTAGGCTAGCTTTTGTTACGTTACGTTCTGATTCATAATCTAGAAGTATCTTTAATTTTCACTTGACAAAATGTTAAAATGTTTACTGTGCAATAAAAACTGTTTTTTAAGAGTCTTTTAAGACCTTACTCTCGGCTATTTTCTTCGAGGTCCCGATAACTCAAATTTTTTTCGATTTTCCTTGAAGGTTCGAGCTATCGGGAGTCGACTGTACAGTGTATATGTTACTGTGGTGTGACACACAGCTAAAAATACTGTTGTGTTTAAAGTTGGCGTGTTGACAGGGATTAAGTTGTTGTGAATTCAGTTCTTATTCGGAAAATTCCTCAGTGTCAACAACACAACGAACAAAAATTTGCTGGCATAAATCTTCTGATCGATTTTGTTACACGTATTGGACTCTTCTAATTTACAACCCCTAAGTATATTGCCCTTTTCAAATTTCAATCCATCAAAAGAGTTGGTTTCCGGGTTTATTTTTTGGAATTTTAAGCTATGAAACTAAGTAGATTGTTCAGCTTTTTTGTCACTGATATAAAAATTATAACCCCTAATAANTCTCTCAGTCCACTGATTTATAAACAGAGTATCGCATGCACGATTGATTTGATTTTGTTCTTGAAATTCATTTTGTATGTACTTCAAGTATACAAAGGCAATGACTGTAACATGAATTTACTCAATAAAAATCGCCAATAAATGACTTTTAAACAATAGGGCGTGCATTTTGTCTTTCGCCTGATCGGGGAAGTAAAATTGGGCGTTGGTCCTAAACAGGGTCAGGGTTTCAAACCCAAAGGGGCTCACCTATAACCAAATACTGCCCGAGTACTCATATCCCCGGGAGTTACCCAAATAGCGACGGAATTTTATGTGCATTTTTTTTTATGAATTACTGAACAGTTGTTTGGTTATGAGAGATCTACAGATTACTCCGATAGCCTGAGGCTAGTGGAGTTTGCCTTGGCGCCAGTGTATTCCGTTCCTAAAAAGCTGTTTCATTATGGGGAATTCAAAATACCCATTCACCCTAAGCCAAATTAAAATTCCTAACAAATTCACTTCTGGGACCCAAAACCATTTTCAAACCCATCTCAAAATGAAATCTGTAAAAACACGTATCAAAAAAGTATTTTGTTTCGAATGTAAAGAGCTGAGGTTGTATGTAAATATTTATTCACTCCACCAGTTCGTTTCCAATATAAACCCTGTAAGATTTTACGTTACGTAATATTAGAAAAGTCAACATTACTGAGTGCTCACATATTGGCCGGCCTGGGCTGACTGGCCAAACGGGGTCACACATATACAGAATGCAAGCGCCACGGCCTTACACACGTGAGCTTTCAACTGTTAGATTTCTACAGTCGACTCCCGATAACTCGAACCCTCGCTAACTCGAACCTCGCGCTAACTCGAACCAAAATCGATTTTCCCTGGATTTCCGTAATATATTCACTGTAATTTTACCCTGGGTAACTCGAATCCTCGATAACTCGAACTCCCGCTAACTCGAACCAATTTTCGTTTCCCCACAGGTCATTTTCTGCATAATTTTACAATCGATTACTCGAACCATGTTTTGAGCCCTTAAAAAGTCGGGCAAAAAGCCGTCTAGTGGCGTCCGAAACATTGAATTTGGGATTTCCTATTGACGTGTTGTAGGAGTGTACAGAATGTAGTTTACTAGTGGAGGCTGATGTTGATTGTCAAGGGCTAACGTGAAGCAGTTTTACTTCTCCAAATAGTAAAACGCATGCTCTTTTTAGGCTAGCTTTTGTTACGTTACGTTCTGATTCATAATCTAGAAGTATCTTTAATTTTCACTTGACAAAATGTTAAAATGTTTACTGTGCAATAAAAACTGTTTTTTAAGAGTCTTTTAAGACCTTACTCTCGGCTATTTTCTTCGAGGTCCCGATAACTCAAATTTTTTTCGATTTTCCTTGAAGGTTCGAGCTATCGGGAGTCGACTGTACAGTGTATATGTTACTGTGGTGTGACACACAGCTAAAAATACTGTTGTGTTTAAAGTTGGCGTGTTGACAGGGATTAAGTTGTTGTGAATTCAGTTCTTATTCGGAAAATTCCTCAGTGTCAACAACACAACGAACAAAAATTTGCTGGCATAAATCTTCTGATCGATTTTGTTACACGTATTGGACTCTTCTAATTTACAACCCCTAAGTATATTGCCCTTTTCAAATTTCAATCCATCAAAAGAGTTGGTTTCCGGGTTTATTTTTTGGAATTTTAAGCTATGAAACTAAGTAGATTGTTCAGCTTTTTTGTCACTGATATAAAAATTATAACCCCTAATAAAGTTCAATGCTATACAACAGTGAGTGCCAGACTAAGAGAGATCACGAAGAATTCTTAGCCGTGTCCACAAGTCACATTTAACACTTGTCTTCATTTCTACAGCGTGAAGCAAACACGTCAGGAGACTATTCACGTGATCAATCAAACAGCTGAGTTTAAAGGTATTTGAAACATGCAGTGTAGGCTGGAGGCAGGTTCATTTCACAGGTTGTCTTGGCTGTAGTCTACCAGAACAAACGTATTTCAGCTGTGTTTTACACTTGTTCAAAAACTCAAACGATGGACCTCATTGGAAAGGTTGTTTTGGAAGCAGCTGTGGAAGCCGTTGTTAAGAAAGGTGTCTCTGCCGCAGTTCGAGGAGCGACAAAATCTCGAGCAAATATTCCAACTGCGGATATTCAAAGAGCCATCGGGGTCATCGACAATAATCTTGACGATATTAAATCAAGACTGGATGGAATTGCAATGAAAGACCTTCTAGCAAGTGCAAGCTTCTTCAATGAAGGCTTGCTGCATTTGGACAGAGTATTTGATAAGTTTCATTTGTCTGATTTTCAGACAATTACAGCAAAAACGGAAGTGAAAACGGAAGGTGGAAAACTAAAGGTTGACTTTCCATCAACAACAGCGTGGAAAGCAGTGTTGTTTCTTGCTAAAGGACTTCACGAGTTGGATGAATCGACTAAAAGAGCATTATGTGATGCCAAAGAGAGATTCAAAGATGCCCGCAGGAAAGCTACCAAAGCATTCTGCAACGAGGCTCTGGAAACAAGTCAACGCATGTTAGCCATGAAATATCGTGTTATTGCGACCATACTAGAGAAAATTGAATATCCTGGAGAAGCGATACCCCTGTGCAAATTATGCCTCGAAGAGCTTCACTCTGATCCAGTCGTCCAGCAAAGTTTCATGATCACGAAACAGAACCAAACAATTCAAAAGGAAGTCCGTGAGTTAAATAGCCTCGTCTGTGACGTCACACAAATGGTTAGTGGAGGCGGAGCACTTCTTGCATGGCCTTGTATTATGACAGGAGGCGGAAAAATCGATCCTGTACACGAGCGAACGCTCAGAGAACATTGTTGTCACACATGGTCGTTTGGGCAGAGTGCGAATGATGACCATAGGCTAAAGTTTGCGTGGAGCATTTCTTCTAATTCCCGCGGAGAATTTATTGTTGGGGATAGCGTAGATCGCAACATTAAAGTGTTCGATGACCACGGAATGTTTCTGTATTGCCTCCATCCTTTCGCTTTTGAAGAGCAATCTGAGTATGAAAGAGAAATATGGAACATTGCTTGTGACCAGCAAGACAATATCTACGTGCTGACATTGAATAGAAATCAGGATGGTCGTGCTGATGTGAGCGTAGTGTATGTGTTCAACGAGCAGGCTCATTTGATTCAAAAGTTCACTCTGAGGGAGGGTTTTAGAGGATACGCGCTGACAGTGGACGACTTCAATCGAATTTTTGTAAGTGGTGGAAGCTTTTCAGTTTGCTTCAATGATACGGTGGAAGTGTACGAGGGCGATGGAATGTTCATTCAAAGCTTCGGAAAGGAGACGTTGAATAACGCACAAGATATTACGGCAACTTACGATGGTCATTCGTTAGTTCTGGACACTGATAAAGACTCCACATGTCTTCGCGTGTTCAGTGCACAGGGTCACCAACTTACTAGGTTTTCAGTTGCAGGATCGATGCCTGACACTGGTGCGGCTGTGGATTTTCACCGCCCGAGTGAAACAGTTCTTGTTGCTACAATGCAGTCCGAAAACCATCTGGAAGTGTCTATGTACTCCAAAGACTTTAAGTTTTTGCGTGTCATTCAATTTAGACCCCAGGGAGATAGCAGCTTTATAACAGGGGTTACTGCGACAGTGAAGGGAAGCATTGCTGTACCCTGCAAAAGCACAGTACTCTATGCTTGAAAATTACGCGACCCTGGGGATACATTTTAGCCGGCAAATTCTAAATACGAACCACAAGGACCAGAAGAACGTCCGGTTATTGTCTAGTTATACCTATAAGGCCTTAGCCTTGCCTAGCGTCGGTTAGTCTGCTACACAGCCGTTTTTAGTGTCGTCACGCAACGCTCCTCCCCACTAAGAGGAGAGGAGGAGCGTTGCGTGACGACACTAAAAACGGCTGTGTAGCAGACTAAGCGTCGGTTAAAACTAGAAACCGCTATATTCCCAGACTAACGAAGCCCATACCTTATATTTCTGTTTTCTTTTTTCATTAGCAGCCTTCAGAAGCGGCTGGCAACACTACACATTGATTGAATTTATTAAATTCTGTAGTATTATAGGGTAAAGTAACACTCATTTTAACTTTCACAATTTTAATGGCGGCTAGGCTTAGCTAAAAAAGTCAGGATTTTTTTTGAGATTTTTTGAAGTTCAAAAAGATTGTTGGTAAAAATCTTATTTTAGATATTTATACGAATTTAGCTTGTTTGTCTAAGATTTTCAGAACTTAAACTGAAGAGTCAAAATATACATCTCGGTAAAATACTTGAAAAAATATCAAGAGTTGTTGCAGCCGAGTTCTGTGGTTTTTTCGAGTTTTTCGTATTTCCTTTCTGGATGATTTATAGCTTCTTTGATTTGTTATCGTATGGTTTTTGACACCGGCAGATATATTTGCCCTCATACAATCAACCAAACAAAGGAAATTCAATTTTAATTTGAAAGTTTATACTTGAGTCTCTCAGTCCACTGATTTATAAACAGAGTATCGCATGCACGATTGATTTGATTTTGTTCTTGAAATTCA